CAAAGTGAAAACTTCTTTTCCAAGAAGTGGGCCCTAGAGAATCACACACAAGACTCATTGATTGTAACCTATCAATGTTTATGAGTGAAAATGTGGGAATAACCAAATGTTCATAAGTAGGAGACTGGGTGGGTGGTTCAGTTTATTGCAGTCGCTCAGTCTTGTCCAACTCTTTGCGACCCCATGAATCGCAGCATGCCGGGCCTCCCTGTCCATCACCAACTCCTGGAGTTTACTCACACTCATGTCCATCGAGTCGGTGATGCCATCCAGCCATCTCATCCTCTGTCGTCCCCTTCTCCTGCCTGTAATCCCTCCCAGCATCAGGGTCTTTTCCAATGAGTCAGCTCTTCGCATGAGGTGGTCAAAGTATTGGAGTTTCAGCTTCAGCATCAGTCCTTCCAGTGAACACACAGGACTGATCTCCTTTAGGATGGACTGGTTGGATCTCCTTGCAGTCCACCATAGTTCAAAAGCATCAATTCTTCGGCGCTCAGCTTTCTTCACAGTCCAACTCTCACATCTATACATGACCACTGGAAAAACCATAGCCTTGACTAGACGGACCTTTGTTGGCAAAGTAATGTCTCTGCTTTTTGTTGTTGTTGTTGTTGTTGTTGTTGTTTTGTCTCTGCTTTTTAATATGCTATCTAGGATGGGTGGTAAACTACGGTAAATTTTTATCCCATTGAGTTCTATAAAGCACCGAAAATGGATGACTTAGAACAGGGGTCAGCACATCGCTCACTGCATGTTTCTGTAAATGAGTATTTCTGACTCCCAGCTACACTTATTTCTTAACGTGCTGTCAGTGCTGCTTCTGCCCAGCTACAGCAGCATAGTAGTCATGGTGAAGACGCTACAGCCACAAAGCCTGAAATAATTTACAGACTGACCCTTAACAGAAGTTTGCCGACCCCTGAACTAGAGTTCCGTGTATGAAGCTGTACATGTCAAAAATAATGTATGAAACATAGCTTTTTGCAGAGTAATGCATGTAGTATAGTTTGAAAACATGCAAAATACCTTGACATTTATTGATGCCTCATATATATAATAGTATATGCGTTAGAATCATCAACACCAAATACATTGGCAGTGCTTGCCATAGTGAAAGGAGTGTCTAGAGGGGCGTCAACGGTTTCGATGCTATTCTGTTTCTTTAACAAATGTAGAACAAGTAAGAATGTTAGGATTTGATATGTAACTGGATCGTGAGATGTGAATGTTGTATTACTTAACTGTGCCTTTTTGAACTTTAAGAAATACTCCATAATTTGAAAATTAGGTATTTTGATCTGATGTGTTAATGACAAATTAGTTAAGAATTTGATCAAAGTGAATGCTCTTAATATTTTGTTTTCTAGCAAAGATTTTTTAAAGTATTTGTATTAAAGTAACAGAAATGGAAGATTTCATATTTCAGTTTAATTTTACAGAGGGTATTGTTTTGCTTTTTAATTTTTTATCAAAATTTTCAAATGTGCAGAAAGGGATATTTTTTATGTGTACAGTTTATTGACAGAAAGGCACATAAGAATAGCTAAGAAGAGTAGCCTGAGCCTTTTTAGGTTTAGGATAATCGTCAGGAAGGCAGGCCTGAGCCTAAGAGGTGCAGTAAAAACTTAAGGACAATAAATGGCCCTTTATTCACACAAAAAAAAGACAACACAAAAATATTTCACCCATCGCATCATGTAAACGTGTAATTTTTAAAATAACTGAAGAAAAGTAGAACTAGAAAATGTATATTGTGGAAGAAAGAATATGTGTTTCCATTTTAGTCTTTCCTTTTACTAATAGTTGTGTGACCTTGCAGGGGTCATTTTAACTTGTTGGGGCCTTGTTTTCTTAAGGATAGTGTGAAGCAGTTAGTTTAAATGATCAAACTAGTCTTTCCCATCTGATTCAATGTCTTGTTGACTCCTGTTTTCAATCTGTTGTTTTTATTAAAAATTATCATCCAACATAAAAAGTAAATGTGGAAAAGATGATACTTTAAAGCTCAAGGTAGATGAAAAGTTCGTGAACAGTGCCTGTTTCTTCAAGTCAGGAGTTCCAGACTGAACTCCTCAGGGTCTTGCCTCAGTCTTTGTTCCTCCTATTTCTTTCTTCTCATATATATGTGCTCCAGCTTTGGGTTTGTTCCTGTGGTTCATGGTTGCTGCTTTTTCCAGAAAGTCTTTCTGGAGTAGTTTAGGCAATTAGGTGAGTGGTAGAGCCTCTCCGTGAATTCGCCAACACTGGAGAAAAGCACGCTTTGTTGGGGAAATTGGTGTGTTCTATTTTGGACGGGAAATCTGATCGATTGTCAATGGGACATTCAGATGAGATGTGGAGTAGCTTCTTAGGACACAGATCTGGAGCTGAGCGAGATGAAAGGATCGATCTGGTATATAGTTTGGTTAACAGCTTATATGTGGTAATTTAAAAAGAGTGTAGACTAGGAGAAAAATGCAACAAACCAAATCCTGAAGAAAATCAGCACTTGAGGGAGAAGGAAGAAAGGAGAGGAGAGGGAGAAGATTGAGAATTGGAGGAAAACTAGAAAGATGTGACTTCATGGAAGCGGAGCATATCAGGCGGGATGAGGACTATGAAGAGTGTTCACTGAATGTAACAAGTAAGTCATTGGTGATCTTGACGAAAACATTTCCCGTGGGTTGGTGATGCAGTGCCCCATGGGTTGTGGCAGGCTGAGGACTGGATGGGAGCATGGAATGTAGCCAGTTCTTTCAAGAAGCTTTGCTCTTCAGGGAGGATGAGGTGAGGCTATGGGATCTTTTTGAGAGAAGTTATTAAATGCTCAGTGGGAAAGAAGAAAGGGTTGAAGACAAGCACCAGGGTAGTTACTGATGGGCATCACACAGGATCAGCTTCAGCAGTGATGTTGTGGCAGAGGAACGAGGCAAACAAGGATGTGGGTACAGTGGAAATATCCAGCTTAGGGAGTTTTTCCTCCTCATTGAAGGTAGAGGTGGTTACCCACTGAGAGCGAGAGGGCTGGGTAGTAAGTAGTGTTCTGCTCAGTGCAGGGGTTGAAATAGTCACTGTGGAGAAGCCTTGGAGAGTGAAGATGTTGATTAGAGATCAGGGAGACTTCTAAACTGGAGATAGTAGTGCAGCGGTGGTTTCATCTGCATGGCTGTGAGATTGTATTTTCTTTGAAGCAGCTCCACCTGCAGCCTCGATGGGAACCTCATTGTCAGGATAGAGAAGGTGACCAAGGGTTGGTTTGATTCAAGTTGCCCTTTTGCCTGGTAGGTGTGACAGAAGTATGGGACGAGGGTGTGAAAGAAGTTGGCAAGAAGGTGATTCAAGAGCTCGACCATGTGGTCTATAGAGCAGGGGTCCCTTGACTACAGCTCACAGGCCACATCTGGCCCACTTCCTGCTTGTTTTTGTAACATTAACATTTTTACATTAAGTACCTGCATACTATCCATCACATGCCTCTTGGCTCACATAGCCTAAAGTATTTACTCTCTGGGACTCTAAAGAAACGTTTCCTGACCCTTTGTCTAGACTAAAATAGGGTTAGAGTAAAAACAGGATTGAGACTTAGAGATATGTTAGAAAGTAAGGGTTCAAGGAACATAAATTCTCAGTAAAGTCCCACTATTGAGTACATTGGGCAGTTGAGTGGCAGACCAGGAGGGACAGGAGCTCGTGAGTAAAGATTTCAGAGCTGGGGCGCCTGTGAGTGACAGCCAGGCCCGGCTGGGGCCGTGGTAGTGGGGGGCCAAGGAGAAGGGGCGGTGACCGTCCGTGGAGTTGAGGTCAGGGAACTGAGAACCCAGGTGGAGATAGAGTCATCCAGGCCTGGAGGAAGGGAAGGCCGGGAGCATGCCATTCAGCTTACTGGTTAGGGATGGTTAATATAACAGAATCAGAAAAGACATGGGTTTGCTTGAGCAAGAGCCGGCCCTGAAGAAGTGTCTGGTGAGTAATGTGGCTAATGACTGTTGGCCGCAGCGTGACCAGGCCACCGGGATGGCTGTTCTCTTGCTCTGTCCGCCCCCTGCCGGCAGTGCCCGCTTCATCTGCTCCCGTGACTGACCTTCTGCACAGCTGCCCCAGGCCCCAGCTAGTGACTGTTCTCATCTTCAGGTCAGAGTGGCTTTGCCGGGAGAGGGTGTAGCCCAGCTGCTGGGTTAGTAGATGGAAGCATCGCCCAGGGAACTTGGGACCTGGAGCTGGAGACGGGTTCCAAGGGCCGTCAGGTGTCTCACTGGTTATGCCTGTAGAAGACGGCAACCTCCCATTGTTGCTTTAGGTCTCCGGGGCAGAAGAGCATGGGCAGGTGTGTAGGAGGTCCGTCCTGAGCAGGGTGACGGTGAGGCAGGCACTGCGGCGGACGGACAGAGAGCCGCAGCTTGCCCTCCCTCAGCCTCTAGGGACTTCTCAGAGAGGCCTTCATCGCTGAAGTCATCCTACAGGGCGACCACTAGGTGGCAGTGTTGTTGAAGAGCTTCCTCATAAATGACCTTCAAGTCTCTTTTCGAAATCCTGTGATAACACAGGTGTGATGCTTTTCTTTAAAATACAACAGTCCGTTTTATTCACGGGTGATTCTTCACTTCTGATTCTTCTCGCTTTCTTATTGAGCACACACCCTGCTGCAGGCACTTTTAGGACTACAAAGGGCAGCATCTCTTGGCGCTGTTTATCCATGCGGACCCTCCTTTGGCCACTATTTCTTTATATCTCATTCTTTCTTGCCTTTACTTTTTTAAATGTCTCCTTTTGTTCTGACCTCAGGACCACAGATAGAACATTGTTAATGACCGACATAAATCTCATGGCATAACTGGTTAAGAATTCTAAATGAAGCCTTTGCTACACTCTCCTGGGGCTTGTATGGTAATGGTTCACGTACAGTGAGTTCTCTGAATGTTTTTTGAGTTGAAATCTTCCATTTCTGTAGTCACATCACGTGTTCCTTTAGGCAGAGCTTGAATTTAATGTGCTGTTCTGTGTTGTGCTTGTTTTTTGAGTAGTTGATGGATTTACAGCTGAGTGACAGTAACTTCCGTCGACACATCTTGTTGCAGTATCTCATTTTATTTCAGTATCTCAAGGGGCAGGTCAAATTCAAAAGGTGAGTTAACATGGGTAATAAATGGCTTATAAACCTCAGCAAAGAGAAAGATTGCTTACTGATGTATTTGATGTATTTTCTTAGGTACTGGGCTCATTTTATTTGTAAGGCTCACATCCCTGAAAACCGGATAACCAAGGGCTTTTGTAAGATAAAAGACACTAAGGAATTCGTTTTAGAGAAAAGGCTGTCAGTGTCTTTCCTGGTGAGCGCCAGGCATCCCGGAATTCTCAGTTGTTGTGGGTGGAGCTGTTCCTCACCTCGCTCAGAACTTGTCCCAGCCTCATTTGCTAACTCAGCCAGTAATGGTTTTTCTCCAGGTGTGGGACTGTCTAGGACATTACAACTGAAAAGAAATTAAATCTTTGAAGCACGGAGGAGTTCTGGTTTCTTTGGCTTTTCAGAGAAGCTGCTCGGGATCTGCGCTGTCAGTCTCGTACCTCCTGTGTGCAGCCCCATCCTGCTTGCCCCACGCACCCGAGGCAGAGCTCCCCGTAACCGGGTGGAAGTGTGTAGGGCAGTGTTGCGTCAGTTGTGTAAAGAACGTGGCTTTCTTCCTGCTGGTTTTGAATCCTGCTTTCCTCACTTACCAGCCACACTTCAGCTTTCAGACTTGTAATTTTAAGGTAGCACATAGGGAGCACTTAAAGGTGTTATTATCCTTGTCTGTTGTGGAGGTGTGGTATGGCACAGTAGAAACGAGGGGCAGACCTGGGTTTGAATTTAAGCTTCAGACCTGAGCTTTGAGCCCCTGCCCTGTAGTGTGTTTAATATATGCACATTTCCTCGTTTTGAAAATTTAATGAATGATTTATGTGAAGTCCTTAGATCCTAGCATTATCAGTATTCATTGGATGGCTATAAACTACAGAGAACCCAGTACCCAGTGAGAGCTGAACTGATGGCAGCTACTAACAGTTTGGGTCTGTCTTCAGCCTTCTCTAGGGTTTGGGGATTTCATTTATTACATTTAGAATGCATTTTAAAGGAACACAGTATGAGTTATTTGACTGCATCTTGGAGAGGAGTATGTTAATATCTTCTCTGAGGCTTTTATGCCATATTGAACTTATTCTGGAGAACAGTCATTGCTCTGTACATAGTTAATCAAATTGATTCAGTGAATGTTTTATTCCCCATTATATACTTTAATGGCTTCAATTTCAACCATCTTTCTAAAGAATAAAATACAAGACTTTTACAATTTCATTGTGATTGTTCTCATTTTGGTAATTTTTGACACTGTTTACAGTTCACTTCTCTGTTACATGCTTTATATTTCAGACAGTAGATAAACCTTAAAGTTGAATAAACATTCTTGTAACTCAAGCATGCTTTTATTGCTTTGTTTCCTAGTTCAAACTATGTTTTAACTGATGAGCAATCACTCTGGATTGAAGATACTACAAAATCAGTTTATCAAGTAAGTTCATCACGCAACAAACCCATGATTGAACAAAATGAAAATTTAGAATTTTCTTTGTTTCAGCCCCAAATAGGAAAATAAGGATAAAGTTAAGCTCAGGTACAAGACCACAAACACTTCTTGGTTCTCTGCCTACAACCACTCCTATGATGCAGAAAGTTGTTGAAAGCTTAGTATATTCTTTCTAATCACAGCTACTATCTGAAAACCCCCCTGATGGAGAAAGATTTTCAAAGATGGTAGAGGTATGTGTTTTATATTTACATAGTCTTTTTGGCACCCAGCAAACTCTCAAAGCCTTCATTATGGAAATGTACTTTATTTTCCCCAGCATATATTAAACACTGAAGAAAACTGGAACTCATGGAAAAATGAAGGCTGCCCAAGTTTTGTGAAAGAAAGGTAAATGTATACTCATTTCAAGCAGTATGAGAAAGGCAGTTCAGAATATAACTTGACACGATTATTTTACATGACATACAGATATGTGTAAATGTATTCATGTAACAGTATAAACTGTACTCTATAAAAATAAAATGGCTTTGATTTACTTGTTATTAATTATTGAGGGGAAAATGCTTGCTGTGTACCCACATCTTGTAGTTTGTCCCCTGGTGTGGCATTTTTGTCTTCTGATGAGTGTAATAATATGAAGCATCCATGTACTTTAGGAAGAAAACAGTAACTAAATTTTCTTGCACGTTTAACGCTGTTCCATCTCTGCCAACCATCTGAAATCCCAGTGTGTTTTCACAGAACATCAGACGCCAAGCCCACAAGAGCAGTGCGGAAAAGAGCAGCGCCGGAAGACTTCCTGGGGAAAGGGCCCAGCAAGAAAATTCTGATGGGAAAGTAGGTAAACCTGTCTCCATAGCAGGGGATGTTATCATAGAAGCTTTTATATTGTGAAAATATTAATGTAAGAACTCTCCAGGTTTTGTGTTGGAATTTCCAAGTTTCTTGTGTTTGGTATGTACATAGATGACTAAAGCTAACTACACCCGATTAGTTTGTGGGGTTCATACAAGACAGAACCTCTGTTTTGTCTCCGGCTTCCAAGATCCACAGCTGTACGTTCTGCTATATTTCCCATGTCAGACAATCCACTTGCTGTTAGATTGATGCGGCCTGTTTCTGGTTGTTGCAGGGTACTATAATCCTTTCATTTCTTCTACCTTCCGGTTAACTATTCTTTGCTTTATATTGCATTTGATTACTTTAGAAAGAGGTTAATGGTTATTATTACTTAATAAAATATATGCTCAAATAGAAAATTTGCTAAATACCAAAATGTAATGATCAAAACTCATCACCATCCCAAAATTCACTGTTTACTCCAACTATTTTTATAGCGTTACTGTATAAGAGAATGGTGTCTATAAACAACATATTTATTTTTGTGTGTTTTGTAGTGATGAGTTAACAAGGCTTTGGAATCTCTGTCCTGACAACATGGAAGCCTGTAAATCAGAGACAAGGCAAGTTTAAAATGTTTCATGTGAAGTGTTGCTTTTCTCAAATGTTAACTAGCATAGAATTTTTTGTCAGCTGTAAGCAGAGCTCAAAAGAAATTTTAAAATTTATTGTCATTGACTTCGGCTCAGCAGAATATAGCTTCCCATAAAACACCTAGAGGTGCTAATAAAATAATTGTAGAAATCACAAGAAGGAAGGATTCACCAAAGAAGGGAGACTGAAAAACCAGAGTAAGAACTGCAGCTTGGTTACTTATAGCTGGGCAGCAGTGCAGGTTGAGTCCCGCTTTGGGAACCAAAAGCGGGTTCTGCAGCAACAGGACAGAAGGGGAGGCTTCAGGCCTGCAGATGGTCACTGAGTGCCCCTGGATAAAGCTGAGGCCCTCAACACACTCTGTAAGAAAAGGGCAGGGCGGAAGGAAGAGGGCCTGGCTCACTGGCACCGAAGTGAGGAGCTTATCCACTACCCCCTGAGATGTGGGCAAAAAGAAAAAGGTATTCCCTGAGGAATTACAACCGTATCTGCTGTTATGTGGCCTCAGAGTTGAAACTTACACTACAGATTCCCAGGCTGATGGCAGAAAGCTTTTCCTAGGGGAAGGGGGAATCACATCTCCCACCTAATTCACTCAGGGATTCTACAGATAAGTCTGAAGATAAGCTCACCATCCAAACCTAAAACAATTTACCATGACTAAGAATCAACAGGTAGAACAAGCAACTCAAAGGAACATGACAGTCTCAAAAAGGACCAGGCAAGTTTGAAAAAACAAGTAAATCTCCTAGCAACAAGAAATTATAGCCATTTTGTACAACACAGAGAATGTGCTAACATGACAGTCTCAAAAAGGACCAAATTTGAAAAAACGAGTAAATCTCCTAGCAACAAGAAATTATAGCCATTTTGTACAACACAGAGAATATGCTAACGTTTTATAATAACTGTAAATGGAAAATAACCTTTAAAAAGAGTCACTTGTCATTTCAATATGACAAACTTTAATCTCTTTGGAGAGACCCATCTTTTAGTCATAGTCATCTGATCAAATTCTTGGGTCTTACTTGCTTGAGTGTATCAAATTTTATTTCTAAATACAAATTCAAGAAAGATGCAGTTAAAAACCAATCATCCTACCATGGTAACAATCTAAACTAAGCTCAGTGTTAAACCATAGTGTCTGGTTATCATTTCAGTTTGGTTCTGGTTTTTAAAAAAATTACCCATGGATGTGGATGTGAAAACCTCCTGCTTGCTGGTCAAATTTAAATGCTCTTAAGCCCCTGGCTGCCCTCTGTCGCACATGACGGTATACAGTGCTGGGTGTGTTCCCTTCCAGACTGTAGACCGTATATAAGGGGCGGGGGGCCGTTACCACACTGCCCTCCACTGTCCCCTTTGAGTTTAGTTTTGCATCACCTCCTTAAATATCTGAGTTCCTAAGTAATCTAACTGTAAATCAGTGTGGTTAATACTAGAATCTTTATTGCCTCCGTTTTATGAGTATTAAGCACACACATGATCTTCACTAGTTATTTTAACACCCAGGGAATACATGCCAACTTTGGAGGAATTCTTCGAAGAAGCCATTGAACAGGCCGACCCTGAAAACATGGTTGAAAGTGAATACAAGTAAGTAATGTTTCTCATGAGCTGAATTTCTCTATCTTAAGCACTGAATATGTACCAGAACACTAAGGGAGACCATTGACATGAGTAGTACTTTTCTCTTAGGTGAGGTTATCTGCCAACTTCATGTTACTCCATGTCCTGATTTCAACGACCATTCCCATTTTGACAGACAAGCAACTTAGAATGATGCTTTGTGTCAGAAGTGGAAAGATCCCCTTAGAATCCGTCACCTCTTTTTTCTCTGTTTCCCTTCAGTTCATGGTATGTCCAGCAGCCACTGATAATGAGCTACTCTTAAGACCTCATGGGGGCCTCCAGATCACTTGCAGAAAATTTTAAACGGAACAGATCTGTGCTCTGGGTTCTCTGTGGCTCACCTATTTCTGAAACAGGGTCTCTAGCCTCGGAGGTTTTTCTTGCCATTCTGTGCACCACCTGTTCCTGCCACACGGGAACATTTGGCAGATCCTGTTCTTGGCGTCAGTGTTTATGGTCTAGGCTACTGCTGTGTCCTTTTCAGTTTTAGAGTCATTTTTTATTCTCCAAGGTTGATATTGAGCAAATGAAAGTTTGGATGCTGTATGTAAATTTTTTTTAAAGCAGATATTAAGTTACATGATGACATCTGTTGGGTTTATAAAATATTCTGAAACTCACACCTGCAGGTGGCACTGCCAGTGTGGATAGAAACGCAGTGAGCCTGAGCCTCTCTAAGGGTGAGGCAGGACTTCTGTCCTGCACACACAGCACCTGGCCAGTCCCGGACGCGTACTAGTTGACTTTTAAGTGTCTGTAAACTTTTAAAGTGTGTTTGCTGCATATGAACCTGCCCCTTCGGACTCTGCTGATTTCTATTTGTAAGTGAACTGCATGCTGAGAGGTTCTTTAGGGCTACGGTCAGTGAGAAGAATGGTGCCTTCATCTACTGATTTGAGCGTAGAGTTTCATCTGGTGAACTTAAGTACATTAACTAGAAGGGAATGTAAAAATTATAAATAACTATAAATCACAAGATTGATATCTCTTTTTATAGGGCTGTGAACAACTCAAATTATGGTTGGAGAGCCCTAAGACTGTTAGCACGCAGAAGCCCTCACTTCTTCCAGCCAACCAACCAGCAGTTTAAAAGTTTGCCAGAATATCTCGAAAACATGGTAATAAAGCTAGCCAAGGAATTACCAGTAAGTAGGAGTGATGGGTGTTTTATCCTTCAGTTGGCGTTCTCTTCTTTTGTAAAACTGCTGTTGCTCTTTGAGCAAAGAGCTGAATTTCACTTTAATCATGTGGAAAAAGTATGATCCACAAACCCTGTTGTTTTAGAATGAGGAAATAATGCCTCTGAGTATACATTTATAGGAAGTATCAATACATAAATTGAAGTAACTTTACATGTTGTATAAAGTTGTTATACTTTGATTATTCTTCCTGTTTGCCAACGCATTCTGTTTTATCACAGGCAGGGCCCATGGGGTCGGGGTAGGCAACTTGGCCTATCTTCCTACTCTGTTCTCTTTTCTAACACAATATGGTAATAACTATACTGTATGCATACAACCAAATAGAGTTACTCAAAGCATGTTGTTAAGCATATGGTTGGTCCCCTGGTCTGCCCTAGATTGTTGTTACCATGTATGTGCTGGCTACGTGCAAATCATCTCACCAGGCTTCCTACTGACTCCCTTCTTCCCAGGCTGGGGTGAAGGGAGTCCTTCCAACCTCTGGTTGTCCCCCGTCCTTCCTTCTCCAGGTTAACACTGTCCCACTATGATCCTTACCTGACGTTCACATTTAATAATCTTGGGGGTAAAGTTCTGGGCCCCATAACTGGAATCTCTTATCTAAGATCAAAACTATCCCCACTTCTCTGATTGTAGAAGTTGGCACTCTAAGACATTCCTTTTTACTCATTGTAGCCTCCTTCTGAAGAAATAAAAACAGGTGAGGATGAAGATGAGGAAGATAATGATGCTTTACTCAAAGAAAATGAAAGTAAGAATTGAATTTTCTTGGCTATTTTACAAAATTGGAAAAGATTGGGGTTCTTTGTTGAGAGGTACGTTATTTGATCTACTTCTCAACTTCTACTGTTTATCTCAGCTCTGTTTCTTATAGTGAGGAATCTAAAGCATTGCTTGATAACTTTTCCAGTAGTGCATTTTATACAATAATATTGGGAAGTGTTGGGAAGGAGAGCACTTACATTTGAATGCACCTCATACCTCTTAATTCTCGGGGTTTAGATTGGGGGCTGCTGGTTTCAGGGAAAGCCTTCATGATTGTCACACAGGCAACAGCTTTAGTTTTACATTCCTAATGATCATAAGAATTCAACCAGGGGAAATATAAAAAGGGACTGTTTTACTTTTAAAATAAAACTCACTGCGTCTCAGTGGCCCCATGTTCCATTATGGACTTTGACTCATAATGTCCTCGTACTTTGTTCATAATTTACCTCCCCTGTGTTTTCTAGGTCCTGATGTTCGGCGAGACAAACCTGTAACAGGGGACCAAATAGAGGTCTTTGCCAACAAACTGGGTGAACAGTGGAAGGTCCTGGCTCCTTACTTGGAAATGAAGGACTCGGAAATTAGACAGATCGAGTGTGACAGCGAAGACATGAAGATGAGAGCCAGGCAGCTGCTCGTGGCCTGGCAAGACCAGGAGGGGGCACACGCCACGCCCGAGAACCTGATCAACGCGCTCAACAAGTCTGGGCTAAGTGACCTTGCAGAAAGTCTAACTAATGACAATGAGACAAACAGTTAGCTTCGTTCTTTATTATTATTATTATTAAAACTGTGATAAGGTTTTGTTACCAAGCAGCATTTGATAAGAGGTCCACTGGTTTTGGTAAACAATAAACATTTTTATAACAGTTGTACAGTTGGCTGGTGCTCCACGAACAACAGAATATATGTTGGCTCTTGACTGACCTCAGGGTTTAGGGGGAGAAGTTGGGGAAATGGGCAGAATAAAGTGACCTCAAGGTCACAAAGTATTTTTGTTAATTTTATGTGTGTAAGTCAGTTAGCAATGTTCAGGGGCATGGTGTTTCCTGCATGCCCTGAAGTTACAGAATTTAACTTGCTGAGAATCCCGCAGTAATACTTTCTGAATCGTATGACTGCTCTAGTCCCACATATGCTTTAAAGCGGAGGATCAGCAAACAGTGGTCCGTCTGCCACCTCTTTCTATAAGTAAAGTGTTTACGTACGGCCACACTGATCTTAAGTCCTGCCTACCTCTGGGCTCCTTTCGTGCTACAAAGGTACACGGTTGCAACAACGGCCTACAAAGCTTAAAACGTATGAAAATATCTGGCCGAGTACAGAAAGATGTGCCAACCCCAACCTTAAAAGAAACGGGGTGAAGTATAAAACCTAATTCTCTTAGCCTTACAGAACTTATGTCTCCGGTCACTTAAAACAGGGCTGCACGCCTCAGGGGTTGCTGTGAAGGTCCAGCGAGACGTGTGTGACGGCACCTCCGCACAGCAAGCACTGCAGTGACAGCTGGGCCGGACCGTCTGCCCCCCGTTCCCACATCAGCTCACCCTTCAGGGCTCGACGGTTAGGTCGCCGCTGTTCTCAGTGCCGAGGGAGGTCTGAGCGCCTGCTGCCAGTCCAGCAGTGCTCCAGCACAGGTCTGCTATCAAAAGGGCCTCGGGGCAGGGGGCACGGTCTGTAAGGCACACTCAGGAATCACGGTTTTTTTCCTTATTCTCCTTTTCAAAGACCTTATACCCAAGGCTGAATTCTAAAATAGTCTTTAACAGTTTAAAAGACACTAGTAGAAGTCCAATTTCTTACACTTCAAGAAATCTTTGGAATAATGCTTTTTTGGATCAAATAAAATGAAGTCAAGTTTTTTGTAATGACAGTTAAGAGATTACAATTTAAAATGCTAATCCCACAAAGGCTCCTATAGTTTCTTCTAATCCAACCTGACCTAGTAGCTACAGCATCCTCCAAATCATAAAATCTGAATCCTAATTGCTAAATTTTTGTCCTCAGAGTTGTTCAGAACAAAATAAGACAGTGAATAAAAAAGTTCACAATTCACAAGCATCATACTAATATATCAAAGAATCTCGTCCTCCCTTTCCTCTTCTGCACGCTCTCCAAGGCAAGAGGACTGACTGCCAGTATTAAAGCTTAGCCTAAGAAGCTATTTACAGGTAAGTTTCCCTGAAATGCTTATTTTATCCTCTAAGTATTCTTAGATTACATTGTTCCAACTTGAGAGGAAAATGGCCATTTTTTTGTCACTGCTCTGCTCTGTAGAGCCTTTTAAAACAGCATAAGCAAGGATAGAGATTTCATTATAATCCCTACAACTTTATTATAAATATCTAACTCAAAGAAAATAAGATAGTTAGCTGATATCCTATCCTTTCACTCACAATAAAACAAAAATGAATTGATCAGACTGTATTAAAATCTACCATATATTGCAGTATCTCACACTCTTTATATTTCTACTAAAAATCACTGGTATTAAATTTTGAGATAGACATGAAGAAGTTGGGAGTTGACAGAGTAGAAACAAACACCCAACTGAGCCAAGGAACAGATGTGATAAACATAGTTGCATTCATTATCCAAAGAACTTCGTTACTTTTACAACTTTGTGTTTCTCTTTAAACAGTATTAGGCTAGCAGGTGAAGAAGGTAGTATCTTCAAATAGATGCTCAGGAGCATAATTAACCATCTGCAGAAACTAATAGTATTAAACATATCTGAACTTCAGCCAAGCTCCAACAGACAAAAGACTTGAGGTCAAAAGCTATTAGTCCCTCTTTTTTTTTTTTTTTTTTTATTAAATATCCTCATTTTCTAAAAATAAGCAACTGGAGCTTGTTGACATTTTAAGGTTCATTACTACAAAACCATAGCAAAGTTCAATGTACAAACCATAGTACATCAGAGACACAGTAACAAATGTATAATCAAATGTACTATTATTTGATCACAATTTATTTTAAAGTCATGAAAAGCCAGCAGCAGTCAGGCTGGACAAATACTTGATTGTACCCATGTTTCCATGGGGGTGGGGACGCAGCACTGAGTTACACAATGAGATCAAACTTATTTCCTTTCCACCTTCCTGGCAACATTTGTGTTAGATAAGGCAAAGGATGGGCAGCTACTGAATCACTGGTGGTTTGAACCATGCAAGAACAACAAATAATAGAGTAATAGGTGTGCAATAAACATCTGATTGCTGAATCTTGGGCTGAAAAAGACAGGGAGAAAAATTATCACAGAAGGTAATAATGGTTGAAAGGCATTTTGACTTATAATTTTTAAAAATCAATCCAAGCAATAAGCTTTTTAAAAAGTTCTTCCTGCCACCTTTACACAGGGCAGCACAGTCCAAAGGCAATTTTTCTTTTCTGTTCTCTTTTCTGTAATTTCTTAGGTCAGTAACACAGAGTGGTCTGCTTCTGCCCTCTCTTGTTCCACATGAGGGGAAACACATAAAACCACCTAAACATCTTCCTCCAAAGCTCTGGGTTATAGAAATGATCAACAAATAACATTTATTTCACACCTAAGCATAAATAGCTAAAATGAAGATTACTGTTCACTTTCCTCTTCCATGATTTCCACTCTGCGAGGCCCATAGAGGAGGACATAAGCTATGTGCCAGTCGCCACCGCCAGAGAGTCGTAGGATGTCCTCTGGTGTCACGATGCTGACCTTATCATCATCGAACTTGATCCACTCATCTAAAGTGCGAGACCGAAACACAAAATTTATCTCATTGACGATTTTTTCAGAGTTCCACTGCAAAAAAGGTACTGAGTAGTTTTAGGCACAGTAGTATTCCATCTGCCATACCAACAGTTCTCAAAGTGTGGTCCAGAGACTACTCACATTCAAGATCTTTTCCGGGTTTCCATGAAGGTTACAATTATTTTCATAACACTTCTAAAGCATCGCCTCCCCACCCCCACCATTCTCTGAAGACTACTTTGGAATTCTCCAGAGGTTACACAGTGTGATAAAGCAGTAGAAGACAGAATGCAGAAGCCGGAGAATCCAGCTGTCTCCTATTCAGCCTAACAAACTTAGAAAAATGTAAATCGACGTCATTAAATATTTTTCTGTTTTGGAAAAGACTGTTATTTTTAAAATGTTATTTGGACTTCCCTGGTGGTCCAGTAGTTAAGAATCTGCCTGCCAACGCAGGGGACATGGGTTTGACCCCTAGTTAGGGAAGACCCCACATGCTGTGGGACAGCAATGCCCATGTGCGCTACAGCCTGTTTGAAGCCATCATAATGAGAAGCCCGCCTGAAGAGCAACACACACCCAGCGCAGTGAAAAATAATGTATTTTTTAAACAACTAGTCTGTAAAAATTATTTATGTTAACATGTAATGACTTCATTAATGTCAGTCTAAAATGAATTTCTCAGTTTTCTATTTTAGTAAATATTAAAGAGATACAATTCTCAAAAGTTCTTCAGCATCCTCAATAATTTAAGAATGTAAAAGAGGTTCTGAGATCAAAAAGTTTTCAGAATAAATGTGTTAAAAAATTTAAACTTGTCAAAACAGTATGCGACAATTGGAAAAAAAAAAAAAAATCTTTACCTTGTTTCCTTTTCACCCATGATACATAATGGCCTGAAGAGCTAGACCTTCCCTGATGTGTTAGCACTGCTTGTAAATCATAGTATCCGCAATTATTGGAGCCAATGTCTAAAGAAAGACATAAATCCAGTAATATTAGATATAAACATGTGCTTTCTCAAGTTAAGTAACAAGGAAGAACAACTTAAGTTTATCCTACAGAATACTACCCTATTATTAAAATCCAGTTAAGATTATGGTCCACTTAAAGCTTCATGAAAGATAAGTATGCTATCATTTATAGAACATATATTCACTGAAAAGTGATTTTTTTGATTATGGTCCACTTAAAGCTTCATGAAAGATAAGTATGCTATCATTTATAGAACATATATTCACTGAAAAGTGATTTTTTTACTATCTCATACTAAGGTAAATTAATACTTTAAGAAACACAATTTTAAGCTTGGTATCTGAAAAACATTATGTGGAAAGATAGGATTAATTTTTTTTAAAAAAGCCTACACACAGTAAAACTCAGTTGAAATGAAGATTTCACTTACCATCAGCAAAAGAAAAGGGTTCATACTTAACTTCTTTTTGAGGACTACTGTTTTTGTCACCCTGAGGGGAAAAAATTTTTTTTAATTTCATGGTACTGGAAATTTATATTCTCTTATGAGTATATATCTCCACAAATATTTATTATAATACAAATCACCAAGGCAAAACAAAGGAAAAGTATGATCTCCCTTGCACATTGCTTAAAATGACAGAACTACAGATAATATTTTGGCCACCTGATCTGAAGAGCCAACCCATTAGAAACGACACTCACGCTGGGCAAGACTACAGGCAGAAGGAGAAGGGACAGAGGATGAGGTATCTGCACTGCATCACAGACTCAATGGACGGGTCTGCGCAGCTCTGGGAGACGGTGAAGGACAGGGAAGCCTGGCGTGCTGCAGTCCAGGGGTTGCAGAGAGTTGGACACGACAGCAACAACAATTATTAACATAAACCTGTGAGTCCCAAAGTCCTACTGTTTACTAACATACAATCTCATATGTACAGCAGCAGATCCTGATTACAGGACCAACTTCAAACCACTAAACCTAACCAGTGAATACAGAGTCCAGATAAACACTGTTCTAGGGTAGAAAAAAAAGAAAGTCAATTCTGCCACTTTCCACACACTACCAAACCATGTAGGTGAGGATAAAAGGCTGCCTCACAAAAACAGAATTACAGCAACTTATATTAACTCTATTAAGCCATGGCCACCTGCCACTTCAGTCCAAATGAACTTAAATATTTAATTCAGCAAGTATTTACATAAATTAAAAAGATTCACAACTTTAGACAAGAATCTCTGGTGGGAACTCCCTTGCCTCAACCCATTCCTGTGTGTAATACAAATTCAAACAATTTATTTAGGCATATGGACACAGTTCTTAAAAACTATAATGATAATGAAGACAATGCCAGCAGTTTAAGTGACAGCTAAAATGACAAGAAGCCAAAGCATCTTACAACAAAAAGGCAATTTTTGGAGTGGTCAACCACTCCTCTATAAAATTATAACACCTAGAGCAACTACAAAAAAAGCTACACAAGGAAATACATTAGAAAAACATTATATGTAAACCAAATTAGAATTCTAAAAAATGTTCACATAACTGACAAGTATGGAAAAAAGAGAAACAAAAAACAGCAAAATATAGAAGAGGTTTAATCACTAGTATATCAATAATTATGTTACATGTAAATAGCCTAAACATTAACAGAGAGGACTAAAAATATGACCCAACTATATGCTATCTATAAGAAACTACCTTCAAATATAATACGGGCAAATTTAAAGTAAAAGAATGGAAAAAGATGTATCATGCAAATACTAACAGAAAGGAGAAATGGAAAAATTAACATCAAACAAAGTAGACTTGAAAACAAAGAGAATTACCAGGAACAGAGAGGGACACTACATAATAAAAGAATCACTCCACCAAGAAGACAGCCATCCTGTGTACACACCAATAACAGAGTCACAAAACATGAAAAGCCAAAGCTAACAGAACTGAATGGTGAAACATACAAATCCACAGTTTTACTTGAAGACTTCACCACTCCTCTCTCTCAACAACTGATGGAACAACTAGACAAAAACAGCAAGGTTACAGGAAAAGCCAACACCACCATCAACCAACTGGATCTAATCAACATCACAAAATACTTGCCTTAACAACAGTAAAATACATGTTCTTTTCAAGCGCCCAGGGAATAGATACCAAGACAGATCACATTCCGAGCCACAAAGCAAAGCCCAACGAATTTAAAGGAACTTAAATCACCCGCATGTGTTTTCTCACAATGGACTCAAACCAGAGTCAGGAACAAAAAGGTGACAGAAAATTTTCCAAACACATGTAAACTAAACAAGACACTTCCAAATGACCCAAGGTCAAAGGGAAGTCTCAAGGGAAATTTATTAAAAATACAAGAAACATAATGAAAACAGAAATGCAATAGAACAATTTGCAGAACACAATTTGAAGGCACTGCCAGGAGGGAAATTTACACCACTAATATTTGAAAATAGGAAGTCTGAAATAAAAAACCCAAGTTCCCACAACTTAAGGACCTAGTAAAAGAGGAGGAAAATAAAGCCAAAACAAGCAGAAGAAAGGAAATAATAAAAGTGGAAATCAATCAAATTAGATGCAGAAAAACAGAAGGAAAAAAAAATGAAACATGCTAGTTCTTTAAGAACAAAAAAAGTGACAATCCTCTAGCACCACTGACAAAAGAAAAAAAAGACACAAATTACCAATATCAGGAATATAAGAGGATACCACTACACACTGTGCAAACACCTGAATAACAGGAAAACAAAATGTAAAACTGACAAGCTAGATGAAATGGAACAATTCCACAAACCCAATATGATAAATTATTTCTATAGCCCGTAACTAAAGTTTTAAAATTAAATTTTTTAATTAAAAAAAACTCCTGAAAAAGAACTCTCCAGGCTAAGATTATCAAACCAAGACAATTCTACCAAACGTTTTAAGAGACATCAATTCTATACACAATCTCTCAAAAAAAAAGAGGAAAAAAAAAAAAAGCTAATAAACTGCTTCAACAAAGTAGAGGACAAAGATCAATATATTAAAAAAATCAATTGTAATGAATGCAAAAATGAAATTGGAAAAAGTATGCCATTTAAAAAGACATCAAAAATAATAAAATAGCTACAAATTAAAGTACAAAAAATGTACAACTGAAAATTATTAGACTGTTGAAAAACTTAATGACTTACAAAAATCAAAAGACATAGTAAATTCATGGATTCTAAAGCTTAATACTATTAAAATGGAAATACTCCCCAATTCGATCTACAGATTGAATGCAATCTCCATCAAAATTCCAGTTGTTTTTCAAGAAATGGACAAGCTCATCCTAAAATAAATATGGAAATAAAAGGGACTCAGAAAAGTCAAAACAATCTTGAAGAACAAAGTTGGAAGTTTCGTACTTTGCTATAATCCTTAATACAAAACCACAGTAATCAAGACTGTAGTCCCGGGCTTCCCTGGTGGCTCAGTGGTAAAGAATTCGCCTGGCAGTGCAGGGCACACGGGTTCGATCTCTGGTCCGGGAAGATCCCACATGACGCTAAGCAACTAGGTCCATTCAATGTAACCACCAAGCCCATGTGCTCTGCAAG